TCAGACGCAGAAGGAACCAGGATTCACATGTTATATCATACTCCAAAATCTATTCTTTCCATGATATACCCTAAACTGCCTTCTACAGAACAAAAAAAAACTAGACAAGTGCTAGAATATGCAACATTAAATTTTATTGACCCCAGGATGGGGCAGGGGAAAAAATGGTGGGAGCCTGGCTAAGCCAACTACCCTGAAGGGCCTCTTCCTCTGTGGGAAGGCTCCCAGGCCAGCTCACTCAAGGGAGATGGGTCAGGTGAATCATCTCATGACTGGGGCAGCTGCTACCAAGCCCCAGGCCTCAATCTCACCACCCAATCTCTTATCTCTTATCTTAGATCACGAGTTGCCCATTTTTTGTATGACCCTTAAGCTAAGAATGGTTTTTACCTTAGGAAAAGGTTATCAAAACAAAACCCAGAATACACAACAGAGACTGTATGTGGCCAACAATGTAAAGTATTTATAATACTACTGGGCCCTTTAGGGGGTTAGACACCTTCTAGGTAAAAGGCTATGGTAGATTAAAAGACCCTTGTCCTGCCGGGCGCGGTGGCTCACGCCTGTAATCCTAGCTCTCTGGGAGGCTGAGGCAGGTGGATTGTTTGAGCTCAGGAGTTCGAAACCAGCCTGAGCAAGAGCGAGACCCTGTCTCTACTAAAAACAGAAAGAAATTAATTGGACAACTAAAAATACATAGAAAAAAAAAATTAGCCGGGCATGGTGGTGCATGCCTGTAGTCCCAGCTACTCGGGAGGCTGAGGCAGGAGGATCGCTTGAGCCCAGGAGTTTGAGGTTGCTGTGAGCTACGATGACGCCACGGCACTCTAGCCCGGGCAACACAGTGAGACTCTGTCTCAAAAAAAAAAAAAAAAAGACCCTTGTCCTTCTTATTCTGGAAGGAGGGCCCATGGAAGTACAATAGTGTGAGAGTGTGTGTGTGTGTGTGTAGGGGTGGACGTGAGTGTGTGCACATGCATGAGCATCTCTGGGCATCGAGAGTAATCAGAGTTGGACCTGCTCATACGGGCCGATCCAGCTGTCAGCCAGTTCCCGCAGGGTGCTGTACCTCCGCTCAAACTCCTCCTTACTGCAGTGCTGCAAGAGCCGACCTACCTCCTCAGTGAGGTGAGTCACGGCCAAGTGCTTATCCAGGGTCTCATTCCACTTGCTGCCCAGGATGCTGTCTAAACTGGTGGCACAGCCTGCTGTCCACTGAGCAGGGAGCATGTCAGGCTGGAGGACCTGGCGCCGGGCACTGAGCATGGCTAGGATGTGGCGGCAGGGCAGGCGGAAGGCCTGGTTAAAGTAGCAGCTGCAGCTGGCAGGGGGCTGGGGTTGCACCTTGTGAATGTCTTCCAGGATCTGTATGTTCATCTTTTCTGAGCCAGAGCCGATGAGGTGTGTGGATTTCTGGACCACAGCAAGTTCGCCCAGGCAAAGCTGGGCCGCTGGCCCTGTGCAGATAGCATTGAGAGAGTGCTGGATGCGGGATTCTACTAACTGCTCCACTTTGGGGCTTTCAGGGCTGATGTCTGAAGGGGCAAGATTGTTCTGGGGACTCAGGCCCAGGTGGAAGCTTCCCTCGTCTCCAGAGTTCCGCTGCATGTATCGGAACAGAGACGCCATGCCTTGTTTCTCAGATGGGGTAGTGCCAAAGAATTGGCTGAGAATGCGGGTGGTGACCTCGAGGCTCTGGAAGTAGCGGCTGCTCTCAGCTCGGCTTCTCCAGCGGTGGGCCAGCCAGATACGGTCGTTGAGCAGCCAGTGGGAGTGCAGCTCAGGCAGCTTGGCTGGGGGGATGCAGTTGCTCATGAGGGTATACAACTTTCTCAGGTTGCCTGCTGTGGCTGAGCACATCGTGCTCTGCAGGGAGGTCAGGAGCGCCCTTTCCACAGGACTTTCAAGGGACAGCTGATAGAACTTGCCTTGGAGGAACTTACAAATGTGGAAGGCTGAGAGCAGGACCTCAGCTGAGGGGAACTCCATGGCTAGGGTGGGCAGAGAGAGGAAGTGGGGATCCACCAGGATAGTACAGACTCTTTCCCATGCTGGGTTAAACTTCTTGAACACCTGGAACATCTGGGCCAGGCCTTCAGCATCCTCCTTTGCAGGGATGGCAAAGTAGACTGCCCGAGCAAGATGACCTTCCAGCTGTACCTGAGGTCCATCCACCAGGAAGGTATACAACACTTTGCCCCTTGGGTTATAGGTCCGGTGGATAAATAAGATCTCAGGGAAATGGGCAAAGACACCCTGCATAAAGCAGCTCTGGTAGTTGAAAGTATCTAACTGGGCAGTCTTGCTAACCTGGTGCAGCAGCACAGGTGGGCTTAAGTCATTAACCAGAAGCCCATTCAGCATTGTCAGGGCCATGGGGGAGATGGGAGATGGCTAAATGCTGAGATCGAAATACTTTCTCTGTGGGACTGCTGTCCATGAGGTTTTGCATCTGTCAAGCTCCAAGTAAGCCGAGGCCTGAGGCTAGACTGTAGTTCCCAGATCTTTTCCAAAGGATGAGCCTGTGGAGAGGAACAGAAGCTTAAAGGGACAGTAGGGACTTGGCTCTTCAATTATTCATCCAGATAACATTTATTGAACACTTACTATGTGTCAGCACTGTTCTGGGGGGAGATACACAATAAATATGTAAACAAATAAGCAAGGATATATCGGATAATGAAGGTTACAAAGACCACAAACTAACACATCAGAGAGCAAGTTAGGGAAGGGAGGGATACTTTAGTTAGGGTGGTAAGGCAAGGCCTTTCTGGGGGGATGGCAGATGACATTGGAGATGAGACCTAAATGGTAAGAAGCCAGCCATGGGAAGATATGGTTCCAGAGGATTTAAGTAGGTGTGAAGGCCAGAGCTGCATATAGCCTATTTTTTTTCTGCAAAAATGGCAGTCTGAATATGTGTATAACACTTTACATTTACAAATTACTTCTTGGCATCCATTCTTTCCTTTGGTCCTGGTATATATAAGAGAACCGCAATTGCCCCAAACTTGCTGTGTGATTGGGCAAGTCAGTGACCCTTTCTGAGACTCAATCCCTTCCAGCATAAAATGGGGCTAACAAATGTGCATAGCTTCTCCTGCCTCTGCTTACATCCCTCCACTAATTGAAATGCTCTATTCCAGTGTTTCCTCTATTTGGCCCTAAACTGGGCTATTGTCTCCATTTTACAGATGAGAAACTAAGGCTCAAAAAAGTTAAATGACTTGCCCACCGTTACTCTGCAAGTAGCTGGAAGCCAAGTCTTGGGCTCGGGATCCTGACCGCTTCCCACAGTACCTGGGGGCCAAAAACCAGGAACAGAAAAGGAATACGGCCTTTGACCTCTCACCCCTAACCTAGGTGGGAGATGTGGATAGCTGACATGCCCGTTCGGAGTATGGCTAGAGCCAGATGGGAAGTCACCCTCCCACCCCTGTGGGAGCTATGTGATAGCTTACCGCAGTGATCACTGCCTCAAACCTCCACCCCTTCAGAAATCACTCACCCACAGCCTGGCTCGGTCGCCATTTCTCCCTATTTGACCCTGCCTCCGACTCTGACTGACGTCCAGGCTCACCAACCATAGCGTCAGCTTCGCAGCGACTCAGGCCAATGGTCTGAGGAGTTCGCTTTCAGGCTTTAGTGCCACGGGCCTATCGTAGCCCGGCGATTCGTGGGCGGGTGGGGTTGCCAAGGTTACGAGGGGCTCGGCTGGCGATAACCAATGAAAGTCCGAGGACACGTGCTTCTACTCGAGTCTGAGCCCTGAGGCCGGAACTCTGGAGCTTCCCTTCGGGTTAGACAACGGAAAGGGCACGTTACTATGGAAACTCCCTCAAAAGCCGAAAATGAAAAGGAAAATAAATAGCAGTATTTTACAGAAACCTTTTTTTGTGTGCGTCAAATTCCAAGGCCGCAGGGGGTTAGGAAAGGGTGCATATGTAGTTGTACTGTGTATTCCACCTTATGCAGGAACTGAGGCTCAGGTCTCAAGTTCTGCCACTCCCTCAAGGGTCGGGAGCCCAGCCCTCAGTTGAGGAAATCCAGATCCCCTTGAGCAAGCCGAACCTTGGCGTTCCAGCCCAACTCGCTCCAGAACTTTACAGAACAAACAGGTGCAGAATGGCGCTATGACTTGTTTAAGGTCCTGGTGAACTAGTGCAAGAGCTGACTGACTGCCATCTTTCGTCTTCAGTTCCCCTGAAGATGGCAGACCTAGAAAGCTGGGTGGCTATCAGGCTTTAGATGATTAAGATTACCAACTAGCAAGACCAAGTCAGCTTTGGCAGTTATTACTGCATCGAAAATGTTTATATAAATCTAGAGGAGAAATCGGAGATTAGAACAGGCCAACATGCTAATTTTTACAGATGAGGAAACTGGGGTCAAAGAAATTAGGGACTTGCCCACAGCCCCTGGCAAGTTGCTGGCAGTCAAGTCTAGAATTGAAGTTTCTTACCTGCCAGTCTATTTGGCCTCCTCCTGCTAGAATATAAGGCAACCTGAAACCAACCTTGAAGGCTTGGCTGGTAGAAAGAGGGCAAAGTAATCCTTGAATTTGAGACATCTGGTTTTCTGTTTGGCTCCACAACCCCATTAGGTTGATAACACTCAATTTCTTTTAAAATCAATAAATCTGGCCAGGCGCCATGGCTCACACCTGTTATCCCAGCACTTTGGGAGGCTGAGGTGGGAGGATTGCTTGAGCCCAGGAGTTTGAGACCAGCCTGGGCAACATAGCAAAATTTTCTGTCTCTACAAAAAATGTTAAAAAATTAGCCAGGTGTGCTGGCACGCGCCTGCAATCCCAGCTACTGAGGAGGCTGAGACAGGAGGATCCCTTGAGCCCAAGAGTTTGAGGTTACAGTGAACTTTGATCGTGCTACTGCATTCCAGCCTGGGTGACAGAGCCAGACCTTGGCTCATGAATGAATGAATCCACCCTAGAGCACGCACTTCCTGACAGTAAAGTCAGGAGTCCTACTGCTATGCAATTCCTCTTCCTTCCCAGATCAAGCAGAACACACTTCCCCTGCTTATTTGATTTTATTTAAAAAACAAAACAAAGCTTTATTTAATGAATAAAAATAGTTACAAATAACAGATTGTTCATAAAGAGCAGCAACAGCCAAAGATCACCCTCCTCCTTCCCTTTGTCCCTGAAAATAGGCCCTTTTACCAGACCCATTTTGTCTCACCCTATCCTAGGGCAGGGGTTCATCTCTGTAGGGTGAATAAGATGTGATCTCAGAGGTTGGGGGAGGCAGAGGGGTGACCTTTTAGCATGGAGATAACTTTGGCCTTGAACAATGAATGAGGCTCTCAAGGAATGCAAAGGTAGGGCTGAAAAAGGGCAGACTCAAAGACTGTCACACAGTGGGGTTCTTCTCCCTATTGTAACAATCTTTCCAACCTTACCTAGGAAGACAATGGTTAAAATGCTGTCCCTTAGCATGTCCTGCCCACTTTGAACTCTCAAACTTCTAAGGAGAGGGGTTTTGCTCCCATGTGTTAGTGCACGAGCTTCAGTCATGAATCATGGCTGCAGCCGGAGGGAGTCCCTCCCCTTCCTCTTGCTTTCCCCAGAGGAAGGGGAGACGGCCCACGTCCTTGAAGTCTCCTGGCTGCTGATTGGACTCAGGCAGCTGACAGGGGTCAGCCCAGATGTCCACAATCTTGCGCAGGGTGGAATAGCGTTCCTCCAGCTCTGGCCCCTCAGTCTGCATTAGCAGGTTTGCCAGCTCCCTGCTTAGGTCCTGAATCATGTTGTTTTGTCCTTGCCTCTCAGGCTGGCCTGTGTTTGGGACCACGCCATGGTCCTGGAGTTCCCCATTGGGCCCAAGGAGGTGCTGGTACTTCTTCTGCCACCGGCGGCACACCATGGCTTCACCAACGGGCTGCTGGCTGGTGTGCAGAAGGGCCAAAATGTGCCGGCATGGCAGGTGGTACCACTGTTGAAAGGAACAGCTGCAGCTACAGCCATCTTTGCTAACCTGGTGAGAGTCCTCTAGCAGCTGAACGTCCACTGAGGAGCCAGCCATGTCCACCAGGTGGGTGGAGCTCTGTACCACCTCCCACTCATTTTGGCACAGCTTGTAAGCTAGTTCAGAGCCACTCTGGTGCAAGGTATCTAGCATGCCACCCTGGGAGGGCTGCACCTGTGGCTGCTGCTCCACCTGCACCTGCTGCGAGTCTGGTTTTGTCTCTTCCACAGGGAGCCCGGTGAGGCTCCCACCACAAATTCTAAAAGCCTTCTTAGACTTCGGCGGCATGCTTGCCGGCCGAGCTCTCTTTAGCTTGGGAGGAGCCGTGGGCAAGTTCTTCAAGCCTTTGGTATTAAAGAAGTCTATGTAATCCACAAAGCAGAGGATGCAGTCCAGTAGGGACTGCTGTTCCCGAAAGAGGCTTGACACCTTGCTGGTGACAATGTCTAGGCTGTCCATGTAGGTGTTACACGCGTGCAGGCCCTTCCTGACATGCATGTACCATAGCAGTTCACAGGTGAACCAGTGGGCCTGTAGGAAATTGAAGAGATCCTCGTCTAGTAGGGCCTGGGACATCTGACAAAGATTTTTGAGGCTGGCATCAGAAGTGACAAACACAGCTTCCCGAAGGGCTTCCTTCATGAGCCTTTTAAAAGATGGATTTGCCGAACTACGATGCAACTTCTTCTCCAAGAGTCGCGTTGTGTGGTAGATGGAGAGGAGGATGCGGGCAGCAGGGAAGATCTCCTGCAGGACGGCCCGGTGAGGGAATGAAGGGTCCACAAAGACCACCTTGACCTTGGGCCAATCAGAGTTGAACTCTGTGAAGATGCTCAGCATCTTGGCCACAGAGGTGGCTGTCTCGGCTTTGAGCACAGCAAAGTGTACCACTCGACCTTCTCGTTCCTTGTTCTCCACCAAGAAAGCATAGAGGATGTGGCCTTGGGCATTCTCCACCCGGTGCAGCAAGAGATTCTCTGGGAAGCGGATGAACAGGTCACTCATTTTGCTGCTCTGGAAGCTGAGGCGGTCCAGGTCTTGGCTGTCACCCACACTGAAGGAAGCCATGGAACCCTCATCTACCTTAAGGAAGTTCTTCATCACTTTTGCTATCTTGGCCAGGTCAGAAGGAGTGATGCCTTCCTGCTCTGGCTTTGAGGGCACTTGTACCTTATTTATGCAAAACAACGTTTCAACCGGGGACTTTTCATTGTCAAGGTCTTTATTGATTGTTGGTTGCACAGACTGGAGTTTCTGTAGCCACATTGTCTTTTGAGATTTGCCAGTGGTGTCTCCTCCAACAGCAGCAGTTTGGGCGTCACCATGTATATGCTGGGTGTTTAGTTCACTGATGAATAGTCTATCGAGTCTCTCGTTGTACCTCAGGAGCAAGTACGCTGGGCACATGTCTGCCTCCCGTGTTCTCTTCCTGTTCGACTGGGTCCGAATACAGACAAATTTCACCTGCATGTATCTAGGGAAGGTAGAGGTGACAATGAGAAAGGTGCTGACCGCCCCCCCTTATAAAGATAAGATCCTGTAAGGATTTATATTGGCTGATATGTCTCCTGGAAACCACAATGTAGTATAGAATTAAGGATGGAAGATTTACATTATCTTTCCAATCCCAAAGTATTCAGCTCTTTCACCAAGACCCTCTCCAACTACAATCCCACTTCGTGTTCTTCCACGGCAGTTCTTAGCCCCAACTCCTTTCATTCTCTCTGTTGCTTTCTGCAGCTGCCAACAATTCAATCTGAGGCAGTACAAGAGGAAACAGACAAGAGGCAGCAGCAGAGTGACCAGCTGGTTACCGTCATTTCTGTCCTTTGGGAGCTACTGCCTTCTCTTCCTCCTCCAGACAGCAAAGATAAAATGAGGCTCTAAGGACACTGGACTAGATCAGTGGTTATCAATTGAGCTCTTCAGGGCCCTCTAGGGTTAGGGTGTGTTTGGGAAGATTTCTGTTTATCTTTAATTTAAAGGAAAATGCCCACATTCTAAGTTTGATAACCACTGGGCTAGACGATCTTTAGGGTCCTTTCTAGCTTTGCCATTCTAGGCTGAAAGTGATGATTTAAAGGAGAGGAGTAATTAAATTGACTATTTCTTCTTTTTCTTTTCCTATCCCCATTCAATCCATGCTTCAAGGCCCAAATCAGGTCCCACCTCTGGAAAGCCATTGTGGATGTTCCCAAGCCACAGTAATCACTTGCTCCTGTCTCTGAATTCATGGCATTGACCTAAAAGGCTTAGCAGATTCTCTGGGTGGCAGTATACTTAGGGGTTAAACAGGAGAACACTGCTGGCTGGCTGTCTCTGGATTTAAATCCCAGCTCTGCCACTCAGAAGCTGTGCATCCTTGGGCAAGACACTTCACCTCTTTGTGTGCAGTTTCCTCATCATAAAATGAGGTGATCTCATTAGGGTTGTTAATGAGGATTAAATGAGCCACTGGCAAAATATTTAGCCCAGAGCCTGGTTCAGCCATATATTTATACTAAATAAAAGTTAGTTATTGATATTATTATAGCACCCATGCCTTGTGACATTCTCTTGAATGTTTATACAGTGCCTTTCCAGTTGGATAGGGATGTCTTCAGCTGTCAGAACTAAGTTATTCTTCAGTTTATCCCAAGCACCTAACACAATGCTATTCCTTTAGCAGATGCTTATCAATGTATCCTTATTGATGAATGAGTCATGGACCACCAATGGGTGGGAGAGGTCATACCGCTGTCTCCTTATGGAGTATCCCAGCCCAGTGGAGGGGGAAAAAAACCTCAGCCCCTGGCTTGACTTGGCATAGCCTGGAAGCCTTCCCCACACTTTTCCAAATACTCTATTCCAGATACTCTAATCCAGCTGGTCCTGTTTGCACACCCTGTGGGGCAAGCTTAGGAAAACAGGATATGACAGTCCCATAATAACAGGGTGGAGGGGCCTGGGGCTGAGAATGTCTGTACCTGCTGTGTGCACAGTGCAGGGGTGTCACCATCTCCAGCTCCATGCCAGGAAGGGCTGGAGCAGTCCAGTAGCATGGCCAGGCTAGTGGGGGGTGATCACCGCGTGGCCTCTGCCTTATCTCTCCAGTCTTGTTTTTCGCCCTTTGTCATCTTGTTTTTTGTGTCCTAGAAAGACAGAATGTCTACTTCTGTGTCCACTATCCTATGTCTAACATGTGGGCCTTTGCACACACTGGTCCCTTTGTCTGGAATGCCTTTCCCATCTGTCTTCATCTCAAAGCTTACTTATCCTTCAGGACTACGTGCAACCATCGTCTTTTCTAGGAAGCTTTCCTCAGCCCTTAGATAGGGCCCTATCCTTCTGCTGGCTCAACATCTTAGCCTAACTCTAGCTCATCAAATTATATTGACTTTATGTGCATTCAGTGAATATTTGTTGAGCTATTCCAAAGAAAGATATTGGTCACTGCCAACCATAAAGCTCTTTCTACTATTTCTGGCTCCATTAATGTCTGCACTTTCCAGGGTGGGGAACCTGGACATTCTTTTCAATTCCCCCTTCTCATATATATCCAGTATGTTAAGTCTTTTTAATTCTTCCCTACCACTGTTACACGTATTGAGGATTTATGACATACCAGGCTATAGTAAGCCTCTAATATGCATCATTTTATACTGGGAAAAAGGTTCTATTTTCACCTACATTTTACAGTTAGAGAAACAGGCTTAAAGAAGTTCTCAAGGATAAGAATCTGGGATTTAATCCTCCAGCTAAGACCTGAGGATCTGGGATTTGCACTGAGTTTGCTTGTCTACAGTCTGACTAGTTAACCATTATACTGCCTGTCTTCCTTCAAAATATTTGTACTTTCTCTGAATTCCCATTTTTACTCTCCTCATCTTGACCTCCAACACATTGCTTAGTTCAATAACTTCCTTAAAGATCTCTAAACATACTGTCCTTGCTGGCATCATGAATTTCAAACTTAATGGATACTAGGTTGAGGTTATCTTTTTCTGCTTCCTTTAATCTTTTGTCTTTAATCTTTTATATTGAGATATAACTTGCAGTGAAGCACACAAATCTTTTGTAAAAATTCATTGTGCACCATGGTTATTTTAGTTAACTGAATGATTAAATAGGTGTACAAGTAATATAACTGAAGAGTGATTCACTCTGACTATAGGGATTGGTACAGATTAAAGCTTTTCAGTTATTTTACATAAGATTTGTGTCCTTGTTGTATGTAAATTGCACCTTGAACAATGAATAGGATTTTATAGGTGGAGAATGGGTAAAGCCACAATATAACTTGAGTTAGGAACAAGATTGTGGGAGTCAGAATTTAAATTTAATAAGTTTAAATTCCACTTATTAGCTATGTGACCTTGGACAAGTCCTTTTACTTCCTCTAAGCCTCCAATTTCTTATCTATAAATATGGAAATAATAATAGAGTGCTGATCTATGAATAATAAGTACCACTTAAAGTGAATTCATTAAAAAGGCTGTGACAGGAAATTTGGATGCCAATCCAGTATCCTTTTGTCCCTTTCTGCCTTCCTAACAGAGGGCCAATTTCATTCAGGTTGCCATTCCTCCCCCACATAGCTACGTGCTTCAGGGCTAGTCTAAGCCAATTAAAGTAATCTCATTAGGAATGGATATGGATACTAGCCCAATTCTGGACAAGGAAACACCATAGGAAATCTGCAGGAAACCAAGGAAGGCTTTTTCTTCTGGATGTGACTCCTGCATTTGTACCATGTGGAGAAGCCATCCTCAGGGCAAAGCTGAAACCTGAGGATGGCAGAATGGAAAGATGTAAAGAGCCCGGGCCACTGAAACAATCACCTCTGGAGGCCCACCTCTGGGCATCTAAATATTGGCAACTAATAAGCCATTTTGAGTCTGGATCTCCAGTTAATTACAGCCAAAAATATTCCCAGAAACACTTCATAGGAAATAGTGGAAAACAACATTTGGGTACAACTTAACCTTTAAAAATAGGACTAAAATTATGAAGTTATTATTATATTCAGCAAAAGTGGGTTATAATGGCAGCTATATGCCAATTCGTAGAATAATGAAAGAATGACTTAGAGCATAAACTGTTTTTTTTCCTAGTATAATTTTCCTAAACACTATGATTTCCTGTTTCACTTTTGCAATATACAAAGGTCAGTTTTGCTAAAATATTCCTGAGCTTTATCAAGTTTCCCAAGGACTTAATTTCTTTGCTATACAAATCCTCTGCTTTTCAAGTTTCTATCATCTCATCACCCTTGTTGATTTCCCTTCTCCATTTGTTAACTGGGATAAGGCTGGAAGTTTTCTATCATTACTTTCAAGAAATTCACCCAGCCCTACAACTCTTAGGAAATGTGCATTTTCGGTTTTCAGTTGGTTTTATTTGCACTGTATTACCCTGATGTTTGCCACATCTATTCATCAGCCAGAAACTGACTACCAAACATATTGATGGGACGGGCAGGGATAAGCAGGAAGGAATGGTTCAATAGTGACTAACTTAATAACTAGTTTATTAGCACGATTTTTTTTTTTTTTTTGAGACAGAGTCTTACTCTTTTGCCTGGGCTAGAGTGAGTGCCATGGCGTCAGCCTAGCTCACAGCAACCTCACACTCCTGGGCTCAAGCGATCCTTCTGCCTCAGCCTCCCGAGTAGCTGGGACTACAGGCATGCGCCACCATGCCCGGCTAATTTTTTCTATATATTTTTAGTTGGCTGATTAATTTATTTTCTATTTTTAGTAGAGACGGGCTCTCACTCTTGCTCAGGGCTCTCGCTCTTGCTCAGGCTGGTTTCGAACTCCTGAGCTCAAATAATCCGCCCGCCTCGGCCTCCCAGAGTGCTAGGATTACAGGTGTGAGCCACCGCGCCTGGCCTATTAGCACGATTTTTGCATCATGATTTTTGCTTTTCCATATGGCCTTGCAAGCTGATAATCAGGGTCTAGCCAAAAGGTGTGGTAAGGATTAAATGAGACAATGCCTGTAAAGTTCCTGGAATGTTTCTGGAATGAGTTCCAAATAAATGTTTGGGTTTTTCTTTCTTTCTTTCTTTCTTTTTTTAGCCAAAACTAAAAGAAGCTACAAAGAAGTGTTATAAAAAAGTGATAACTGCTAAACTGCACAAAAATGGAGAGGGATATCAGAGTACTTCATAGACTATTTGAAGAACATGGATCCCCAAAAAGGCATAACAAAAACACAACAGCCATAAAAATATGAGAGGGGAAACTGGGCATAAAATCATGGACACTTCCCCTTTGATAGGGATGTTAAAGAAAAATAAAAATGGAGAACACAGTTTAGATATATCCCAAGGCAAACCGCCCATAGCCACATTGCCAAACTTTAGGGTATCCTGATTTCCCGGAAATGCTAGCTCTAATCATAAACAAAACACAAAATAGGCTTTGCGCCCTTGTCAGCAGAATTCAGTGAAATTAAACAAATTAGTTAAAGACAAAACAGTTTAAATAGCTCTGCTTGCTGTAAACAGAATGTTAATGTATAACAGCCCATCACAAAAAAGGTCAAAATATTTCTTCCCTTAGGCTTTATAAACTGTGCAGTGACTGGGACTTCCTACCACGTTCGGTCTGAAGTCTCTCCGTTCCCAAACTGTTCTTTTGTACACACAATAAACTTTTTAAGAGTTTCTAACTTGATCTGATTTATTTGGTCATTTAGTGGTAATTCCCACCGCACATTTCTTTGATCGTTTTTAAAGTACCAACCACTTTCTATCATGTGCTACAGTTACAGCTTCAGTAAATATTTACTGAGCACTATTTTAGAGGCTACAAGCATTTTCTTATTTAATCATCACCACACCCTCCTCATTTTATAAAGGATGAAACGTGTCACAGAAGTTAAAAGTCTTGCCCAAGGTCAAGGGTAAAGGCTGTCTCTCTTACTCCACAGCTCTTACTTTTAACCATCACGCTAGCTTTTCCTGAACTTCAAAGAATCGCCAACTACCTTTACACCTGCCATAACCACCCATATAACATTTGTACTATATTTTCAAATGGTTTTCTTTTGTTAAATTTTTTTTAATCAAACGGTTTTCTTTAAATTAGCTCACTGACTTTACTCTGACAAGGAATTTTATGTCTAAATATTAACATAAGCACTTACTATTAAAATCATCTAGGGCTGGGCATGGTGGCTCACACCTATAATACTGGCACTCTGGGAGGCCGAGGTGGGAGGCTTGCTTGAGCTCAGGAGTTTGAGACCAGCCTGAGCAACAGTGAGAACCCTGTCTCTACTAAAAATAAAAAAATTAGCCCAGCACCTGTAGTCCCAGCTACTCAGGAGGCTAGGAGGCTGAGGCAGGAGGATCGCTTGAGCCCAGGAGTTTGAGGTTGCAGTGAGCTATGATGACACCACTGCACTCTAGCCGGGGTGACAGAGCAAGATTCTGGCTCAAAAAAAAAAAAAATCATCTCACCTGACCACCCAGTAGTATGTATATTTGGCTTTGGAAACTTCTACTAACTTACCTCCTAAAAACATTTTCCCCATCTTCCCTCTAGTTCCCAAGAGCGGCAATTGTACCAAAACATCCATGTATCACTCAAAAAGCCCAACACAGTGTGCAATAAATGATCCAAGAATATCCCTTACAATATCCCAACCAGCAGCCAGCTTGTCTCTGCTACAGGCCTGTACTGCTCAGGAATTTACCACCTCCCAAATTATCTTAGTCCACTACTGGCCTCAAGGGCAGAGCCCACAATTTATTCATCCTATGCCTCAGCTCAATGCTTGGCCCACTGTAAACACTTAGCCAAGTCTTACTACAAGTTCGCTGAAGAAATAAATTAACAAAGGACATTAAAAGCTATCAAAGCCCCGTGGTTAAATACAACAGTTAAAAGCTCTGGTAATGAATAGGCTGGGTACGATCTTTAGTTCTAACACCTAAGCGCTTTCTTATAGTTTCTTAAAATCTTACCCTACTCCCTGTTCTGACTTGCTCCTTCCTCCCTGCCCCTTCCCACTTCTCTTGGCTTTGACTGTACCACATTGAGACTTCCCTGGCTCACACTCAGGTAGTTTTGGGGGTGTGGGTGCTTTTTATCACAGGTTCTCTTCTGGATCTTGACTACCTCATTCCCTGCTCCTGTCCTCTCCTTGACTGTATTCTAACCTTTCCTTCTCCTTTTTTCTCAAGCATATGCAACTCTGAGACGTACAGCCTCCAAAGAATTAATAATTACGGCTGGGAGTGATGGCTCACGCCTGTAATCCCAACACCTTGGGAGGTGGAGGTGGGAGAATCCCTTGAGCCCAGGAGTTCAAGGCTGCAGTGAGCCATGATCTGGTCACTGCATTCCAGCCTGGGCAACAGAAACAAACAAAAAAACCCAACCAACCAAAGAATTAGATAATTAAACTCTGAGTCTTAATATAAAGCAGAGAGGTAGAAACTATTAGTCTCTTAACGTATAACCTCTCCTGGCTCTGTCTCCCCATCTGCAAAATAATAATAATGATAATGTTCATATTTATGGAATATTTTCTATGTACTAGGCAATGTCATAAACACTTTACATGTACTAATTCATTTAACGGGAATAACAAAACTTGCCTCTGATGTTTCAGAGGACCAGGTAGGGTAATGAAGGTGTGCTTTGTAAACTATCTCAGCAAAATGTCAGGGATGAAAGTGATTTTTCTGATTAAGAGGCTGCATTGGTATCAGTGTCAATCAGGACCAAAACCCCATTCCTGCCAACTAGATTAAGTTTCCCCTTCATTCTTCTACCCAGCACCCTTGACTTTTCCTTTGGAGCCCTTACTACCATTTTAAGGAAATAATTATTTCTGTGATTATAGTTTAATATTTGTCTTTCTGACTAGAGAGGAAGCTCCACAAGAGCAGGGACCCAATTTATCTTTTTCAACATATCTCCAGACACTAGCATGGAGTAAGTATTCAGTAAACAACTGCAAAAATCAATGAAATCAATGAAAATCAAATCGATTAAACTGTCCATACAATGGAATAAGTGATGTGGAATAATCTCTAAGATAGTCTGATAAGTAAGAAAAGCCAGGTACAGAAGGATATGTATGAACGGTATGTTGCCATTCGTGTTAAGAAGAAAAAAAACGAGTACGCACATACAAGATATGTTTGTTCAGGCTTAGTTTCTCTCAGGAAGGTAACCCTGGTTGCCTCTGCATAACACAGTGGCGGTGACCATTTTAGGCCTTTCTGTACTGTTTGAAAAAGATTTTAATGAACTACTCAAAAAATGCACTTTTAAAATTGTTTACCTTCAAAATTAAAAATAAGCGAAACTAATCCCAACCCTCCAGTCTGTTTATCTTGGTCCCTCTAATTTTCCTTCCTGCTGCTCCAGCATAAATCCTTCCTTCTGGCTAAGCAGGTCTCTTTACTGCTTTCTTGTTTGTATGTGCAAACATATATCACTGCTTTTTAATAGAAGCACATCATGTTAACATCTGTACTGACTCACACCATTTCTTTCTCCAGGACGTTAATCCTCCTCTGGTAGGCAGAATGACCCCTCAGAGACGAATTTGTTTTAACCTTAGGACCTGTGAATATGTTAGGTTACATAGCAAAGGAGAATTAAGGCTGCAGATGGAATTAAGGCTGCTATCAGCTGACTTGAAAATAGGGAATTTATCCTGGATTATCTGAGTGGGCACAATATAATCACTAGGATCCTTAAAAGTAGAAGAGGGAGGCAGCAGACAGGAGTCAGGGAAAAAGACGTGACGAAAGAAGCAAGGTCTGAGTGATGCGATGTGAGGACTCAACCTGCCATTGCTGGCTTTGAAGATGGGGGAAGGGAGCTGTAAACCAAGGAACATTGGCAGCCTCTAGAAGCTGGAAAAGGCAAGGCCAGGAATTCTTTCCTAGGGACTCCAGAAAGAAATGCAGCCCTGAAGACCCTTTAATTTTAGCACAATGAGCCCTGTGTCTGACCCATAACCTAGAGAATGTTAAGATAATAAATTTGTGTTGTTTTAAGCCACTAAACTTGTGGCAATTTGTTAGAGTGGCAAATAGAAAACCAATACACCTGATACCTCCCCGTCTTTGAGGGCCTAGCTCAAGCTTCCCTTCTTACTTCTCCAGCCCACAGTGATTTTTCTCTCTTCTGAGTTCCTGCAGCACCCATTTCCCTGAATCACATGTTTAGTACTTGATAACTCACTCATTCAACAATTATTTAATTCCTGAGCCAGGCACACTGACTTGTGCCTGAAATCCCAACTACTCAGGAAGTTAAGGTCAGAGAATCGCTTCAGCCCAGGAGTTTGAGACCAGCCTGGGCAACATAGCAAGACCCAATCTCTTATAAAAAGAAAACAAAACCAATTATTTAATGCCTTCTATGGGCCATGCTCTGTGCTAGACACCGAGGATGGTCTTCCTGAAGGGTGTTTAGGGGCAATTAGTATTTTTTTTGGTATTCTTCTCATTGCTTAGCAAGGTGCTACCAGATAGGACAAAATCCAAATACCTCAGAATAGGGCCGGGCGCGGTGGCTCACGCCTGTAATCCTAGCACTCTGGGAGGCCGAGGCGGGCGGATTGTTTGAGCTCAGGAGTTCGAGACCAGCCTGAGCAAGAGCGAGACCCTGTCTCTACCAAAAATAGAAAGAAATTAATTGGACAGCTAAAAATATATAGAAAAATTAGCCGGGTATGGTGGCGCATGCCTGTAGTCCCAGCTACTCGGGAGGCTGAGGCAGAAGGATCGCTTGAGCCCAGGAGTGTGAGGTTGTTGTGAGCTAGGCTGACGCCACGGCACTCACTCTAGCCCGGGCAACAGAGTGAGACTCTGTCTCAAAAAAAAAAAAAAAATACCTCAGAATAGTACCTAAAGCACCAGCCACACTGCAACTGACTATCTTTTGCCAAGCATGGCATCCCGCACTGTTTCTCTAACATGTCACCTTTCACATATCTCCCTCTTTGCTCCTGCAGGTCCTTCTGCACAGCTGCTTCTGGTCAAATTCCTCTATGCTTCTGAGTAATTAACCATAGATGTACTCTAGTACTCTGCATTCATTCACAGCCCAGAGAAACCATTAATTCCAGTGCAAACCTTTCCCCACCTCCCAGGCATTTGTCACTTCTTTCTCTGCAACATCAGTTTTAAAGCGTTTATCACATGCTAGTTAGCTTACCTGAGTCCAAGTCTATTCTACCTTAGGCTCTTTGGGGGTAGTTTGGATACCTATTCATCTTTATGTCATCTATACCCAGCACAGAGTACTGATGGACTTCAGAGTAGTGGAAAGAATATAGCCTGGCTCCCTAGTTGGGGAACTTTGGCCAAACATCTCAATCCAGGTCTCAAACTCCGATATACTTTAACTCTCAGAGGTGGACTACATACTCTGTGTTAAAATTTGAATTGATATTTAATTTTTAAAAAATGGACAAGTTCACACAAACTCTGGATTTCTGACAATTCTTGCCCAAAATTCTAGCAACACCTTATCTTCATTTTCACATGGAGTTGATTACATGGAACCTGCTTCTCCGTTTTGCCCAGTTTACACTTCTATTGTCCCTAACACAAAGACCTGCTGTCAGTTGTTATTTCATCATTCTTTTTCTAAAAGTAAAATTAAAAGTTAAACTTTCTTACACTGGGTTGTTTCACCTCAGCCCTGAAGGCACTTGAGTTTTCAACCCCTGTCTTAGCCTCTAAGCCTGTTTTCTCATCTGTCAAATGGGGAAAAGAATATCTACCTATAATTCTGAAAAAAGCCCTCCAGGGTAAATCATGCATAAAGGAGAGAACGCTGCCTGGGACATGGAAAGTGTTTGAAAGACGGTTGTTAATATCGGAATTCGAGAACCATTTACAAAACGAATGAATGAATGAACGAACTAACCAACAGATGGCTGTATTACTGCTTTGTAAGAGGAAACTGATGAAGGAGATTATCGCCAAGGCGTTTTTATCCATTGGTGAAGGCCAGACTTGTGCCAGGGTTACTGCAGGTGCTCAAAAAAAAAAAAAAAAAAAAAAGGTGGGGGGAGAAATGACAGTAAAGCTTGTGAATGGAGTGAGTGAAAGTGACGTGGGTAGTCAATACACAAGCACACAGCAGGTGCTAAATGAGTGCCTGTTGAATGAATGGCTATGTTGACAGAGAGCAGGGCCCAAGTGCATTCCCTCCTCCTCTACGCCGCCCTCCGGAGGACTTTCGGGCCTCCTCCCCACCCTCCTGCCCCTCCCTGCCCCGCCCTTACAGGATGTCCTCGCGGATGGAGGTGCCATGGTTGAGGTTGTGGAACCGTACAGAGACGCAGTCCCTGAGAATGAAGGAGCACCTGTTCTCCTTCTTGTAAGCGCTGAAGCACTCCTTGAAGTCCTCATAGGTCTTGAAGCAGCTGCCCAGTTCCATGGCTGCCCCCACAGCCAACACTAGGGGCTGGTCCCAGTCTACCCTCAGGATCACACCAGGGGTCAGAGGTCACACCATGAGGGTTTACAGGCGGGCTTGGGCCCAGAACGCCTTAAAGGCCCGCCCCAGTTAGGTGGCCCATTACGGAGCTGAGGAGGAGCCCTAGGCCTGACAGGATTACGTGAGGCTGAGGACGTCTTTGCTATCTGACAGAAGGGAAATGACACTCAGTCCTTATTATCCAGTCCCGAGGTTCCGCCCCTCACTGTCATATCCAATCACACACGGGATACGCAGACTGGCACTCTTTTTCTCCAATCGCTAGAGAAAAGTGGTCACACCCACCAAGGGACTGACAGGAGTACTGGCCAATCATAACCTGCATCCCCCTTTCTCGGGAGCCGCAGGAGACTTCCGGTTACTAGGGCAATTTGCCGGAAGCTCAGGGTTCCGTGTAGGTCTCTTGGGGACCTCCTCTGCTCAGTGTCCCGGGCCCGCAGTGGCTGCATGAGATGTCTTCCCCGCAGGCCCCAGAAGATAAGCAGGGCGGCGGTCACAACGGCGATCCCCCCGGGGACCTCCGTAGCGTCCTGGTCACCAGCGTGCTCAATCTCGAGCCGCTGGACGAGGATCTCTTCAGGTAGCCGGCCGCACCTGGTCCGCACTCCCCTATTGGACAGTGACGCCTAATTTTTTTTTCTGTATCTTTTTTATTTTCTGTACCTGATTAATCTTTGAGAGCTGAGAGACTCCCAATCTTGATTGCCGCCGCCCTAGGCCACCAGCTTCGGGGCTAGGATGACTGTGCATGGGATGCAAGCTCTGCCATTATTAAGAGAAATCTTGTTCCTGACAGAGCTGTTCTCGCTGCCCCGGCTTCCTCCCTCTTGGCGCGGGGTCTGCACAGCCCCACCCCTAGGAGGGCCAGGCGACCTGAGATACTTTACTCGGCAGCCTGCCCTTAGTCTCCCTTGGGGGAGCCAGCCCAGAGAGGATGGTGATTTGCCCAAGAGCACGTAACTGATCAGGCTCGAAACTTAAACGCAGTTCCTTGCATCTTCAGTACCGTATCCTTTTCCTCTCATAATACCGCATCCCCAGCATTATTTGGTGGGTCTGGTGCTCATTTCTCATCCTCAGGCCTAAGCCAGTTTCGTTCCCAGCATCACCTAAATTCTTGACGAGCTGAAGGGGTTTGTAACAGCTTTGACCTCCAAGGCATCTCCTGACTTTATTGGAAATTATTTTACTTTGACCTCCCTTCCTTCCACTTAAGGAATTATAAATAACTTTCAGGAGGGCTATTTGCAATAAATTGTTATGGAAAATGCTAAATGGCTGGGCGGTGGGAGGATGGAGACAGAAATCCTTAAGCTTTCACAGGGCTGATGCACAGGCAAGCATTTTCACCTCTGGGGCCAGGCCGCATCTGTACACTAAAGGAGTTAGACTTGATGTCTGAGGGCCCTTCTAGCTCTGAATCTAGTTCTTGGAAGAACTGGGCTGTGGACGAGCAGTGTAAGTGGCAGGCCTTAATGCAGTCCACTTCCCAGCTCGGCTCTTGGGGTTCATCTTTGTCCATTCAAGGCCTTACCCTGGTATGAGGTAGAAGAAACACTGGACTTGAAGTCAAAAGACACAGATATTGCCCAGGATTGGCAATGTTTAAGCTGTGTGACCTTGCTCAAGTCTCTGTTTATCTCTGATCCCTGTTCTACTAGTGTAAAATAAAGAGGTTAGCTCGTTATCCTTAACCAGAATCCACAGACAGGTATGTGCAGTCAAGGCTGTGAAATTTTATGCAGAATGATGTAAGGATATCTGCCTGGAGAAAGGGTCCATGGCTTTCACCATATTCTCAAAAATATCTCAAACCCCAATAAGGTTAAGAGATAGGCACTAGAGGCTCACTGAGGGTAGTAGAATTTGGCCCAGCCCCCAAGTCTTTCCCTCTTTCCCCCTCTCCCCACAGAGGAAGGCATTACTGGGTGCCCGTCACCAAGCGACTGTTTGGGGGTCAGATCGTGGGCCAGGCCCTGGTGGCTGCAGCCAAGTCTGTGAGTGAAGACGTCCACGTGCACTCCCTGCATTGCTATTTTGTTCGGGCAGGTAAATCCCCCACTTGCTGTCCCCAACCCAGTCCTGGTGGCCCAGAAGCCACTTCTGGCTTTGGGGGCTGAGGAGAAAGGGGGAGAGAGGGAGACCCGAAGGGAAGGCGGGGGAGGGAGACTGCCCTAAGAGGTTGCCTGGAGAGGAACAAGGTCTGGGGCCAACATAGAGCCTTGGACCTCGCACCTGCTGAGACTCATCTGGTCCATAATGATGCCAGACTTTATTGCTTAACTGCTCCCAATGGGCCTTTTGTTAATCATTCTTCACACAACTTCTGGTGGCCAGCACTGTGCTAGATACTCAGAGGGGTGCTGTAACCTCTGCTTGGGGTTTGGAGGTGGGCAGCTTGGGTTAGAGAGGAGAGCACCAGCCTGAGAATCAAGAGACCTAGCGCTTAGTTCCAGCTTTGTCAACAATTTGCCATTCGACCTTGAATGAGGTTACCTCCCTGCCCTGAGGCTTGATTTACTTCATCTATAAAATGGAGGAGGGGTGGGACTAGGGGTATTTTGGTGGGATGATCTTTACAGCTACTTACAGCTCCAAGGTCAAATAATTTGAAACCGATGCTTTTTAAAAAAAAAAAAAAAAGACAAAAATCTCATTTGCTTTCTCTTCTTCCCTCTCAGTCTTAGGGCAGATGCCCCCAATTTTAAGATTTGCTGTCTTCCGCATAGACCCACCAGCTGAGAAGAGTTTGTGGGACTTTACAATACGTGATATGTATTAAGCAAACATTAATGGGGGTTTCACTTTATTTTACAAATATAGAAGTTATACCTGTAATAGTAAATGCACTTTTTCACACTATCCCACGTCCCTCACTCTTCATCTTTTTATTGCTCCTCCCTCCCTGACTGTCCTTGCTATAAAGTATTTGAATGCTTACTGTGAGCCCAGCCAGGTTCTTATTTATGTTAGTTGGGAGTAAATATGTGCTTTATTTCTTTAATTTGGTTGTAAGTTCCAAAAGTGCTAGCCTTTTGATATGGTAATCTTTCTAGACTAGTAAAATATCTGGCTGATTTGTTTTGTTTTGTAGAGGTGGGGGCATTACTTGATCCCTCTGAATCTCTTTCTTCATCCTGAGATGAAAGAATTTTATGAGTCCTTGCAGGTAAAGTATCTAATGCAGGGCCTGGCATGTTGCTGGTTTTCCATAAATGATAACTATCACTACTTTTGATGATGAATTTATGGGAATAATTAAAATTTGCATGATACAGAGCACAGCCAGGTACATTGTCTTGTTTAGTCTTTTTAAGTAAACAAGAGTGGTGGGTATTCCACCATTCTTACCTAAGGAAACTGGGACCTGAAGAGATTTTTTTTTTTTTTGAGACAGAGTCTCACTGTGTTGCCTGGGCTAGAGTGAGTGCTGTGGCATCATCCTAGCTCACAGCAACCTCAAACTCCTGGGCTTAAGCGACCCTACTGCCTCAGCCTCCCAAGTAGCTGGGACTACAGGCATGCGCGACCATGCCCGGCTAATTTTTTCTATATATTTTTAGTT